TTCTAGCTCAGAAAACAGCTCTCTATCCTCTTCTTCCCATGGCCCTTCTGCCAGAGCTCCCCATCTCCAGTCCTCCTGCCGCATTTCTTCTTTCCAGCTCCAAGGAATCATCCTTGAGTTCTCTCCTTGAGTACCTCACTGAGACAATGGATAAACAGAGTTGGGTTCTATTATCTGAGCAAGAGCAATGATTCTGTGGGCTCTGAACTCCTGGGATTTTACTTCTTTTGTTATGCAGCGAGACCTAGCAGGCCATCACTGATAGACCACACCCTTTCCCACCAGTAAGTGTGTTGTCATCAAAGGCAGCACAAGTCTAAGTCCTATATATAACTCTAGAACAATTCCCGAGGGGCTCACTTCTCGCTCATGAAAGGCTCAGTCCCCACATTGCCTGCATCGTTTTTAAAGCCCCTGGTCCTGCTTGACTTCAGGGATCTTCAGGGCCCTGCTGAGGATCCCCAGGTTTGCTTTCTTTTTGACTTGTGAGTCTGGGGAGCTCTCAATTCACACAGGCCACAGTGTGGACATCTCTTTTGACGTCTCTGCTGCCAGAGCTGTGGCAATGTTGGACATTCACACTCCTCGCTCACATCCTCTAAAGCCAGCCTGTTCTCCAGCCCAGGCTTGTCTACTCCTGTCTGGAAACGTTTATTGTCCATACCTTTTGGTGGTTATTTTCAGCACCTGACTACCACCAACCGAGCTAAGCTTTTGGGTCATTAAGATTGAGAAGCTTGGGATCCTAGAATCAATCCTCATGTTGCAGTGGACTAAGGTTCTGATAAAGGGACAGCAGGCACAGTTTGGATTGTGCTATATACCTTATCTGACCCAGTGATTTCGATTTACAGATCTTATGAACCTCTCAGAGAGGGTCAGAAGACCTCTGTGTCACATGGGATGTGTCAGTCGCTAGCAACAGAATGCCTGGCAGTTTTGATTTACACAGTGCAGGTCAGCAATGTCCTCACACCAGTGGGAGCCTGGGAGTGGACGGTTCTGAACTCAGGACAGCAGGTCATGGGTAGGATTGAAATCTCAGGCTGTCACCCCACCCCCACCCTCTACCTCCTAAGCGGTCACATCGGCCCCTTGTAGGTACTGTCTTCCCTCTGGTATCAGACTTGAAGTGGGCAAGTCATCTAAGTTTTCTAGCTCTCTAGGACAAAGTTCAATGTGATTGAGTAATGGATTAGACCCCTCTGGCAGCCAGAGTCCCAGCTGCTTCCCCAGGATGATTCCTCAGTAAAAGTTCAAGTCCAAAGTACATGTTTATGTGAACATCAGGAGGTCTGGAGTGAGGCCTGAGAAGTCACAAGTTCTAGCAAGTTCTGTCATATAAGAGGCTCTCAGAGGTCACTGAAGGTGCTAATGAGGAACCATACTTTGAAAGACTTGACTTCTCTGCATTGGAGTTTCCCTAAACTGGCAAATGAATAAATGGCTGTTGGAGAGGGCACACATCACTCCTGGGCTGGGTGGCTTAGTAATTAATGATGTAGCTTGTTGGTTGCACCCTTGGAGATTCTGGTGAAGTAGACTTCGATCTGAGTTCAAAACTAAACCTTTACTAAACATCTCCCTGCTGCCCACCACAAGAAGACTCACCAAGACCAGGGAACAGAGAGTTAGCTAATCATAAAAGTTTTCAAGCTCCATATTCTAGAGGCAGACTTGATGTGACCCACCCCACTAAATAAATACATTTTAATGTAATATTTTTTTCAAAAGAGAAAGGAAGGAAAAGACAAATGGGAACTCTACGATTCAGTAGTCTTACCATTTCCCCCTCCAGTTTTAGACATCTGAGGATCAATTTATTTATTTTCCACACCTCCCCTCACCTCATTACAGGGAGATCGAGCTGGAAATGATGACACTAGACAGTGTAATGATCTGTCACGGAGCACTGAAGATCCTGTTCTGCTAGAAGCCCTATCAGTTCCCCACTTCTGGAAGCATTTAGTCCTTTCACTTTTGACTCCAATATCTGTCCCTATTATCTCACACACACACACAGACAGACAGACAGACACACACACACACACTATTCCATATATAGTTTTTAGAGACATGGTTTCTCTTTGTATTCCTAGCTGCCCTGAAACTTGTTCTGTTCCACACCACAGTCAGGGAAGAATTTAGGGAGAAACTGAAGACTATGGAGGAATGCTACAATATTTGAAATGGACCTCTCACACCAACCATTATTCAAGAAAATGCTCTATAGACCTGAAAAGCCATCTGAAGGAAGCATTTTTCTCAATTGAGTTTCCTCTTCCCAAAGTTGTGTCAAGTTAAGAAAACTAATTATGCAAAAAGGACATTACTGTCTATGCAGACATCCAAAGGAATCAAAGCTCACAAACTAACATGTGATTACAGACACCGTTTTCCTTTGCACTGCCAATGAGCAAGTAGAATTTCAAACTGAGAGCATGGTATAATTTATGTCTGAACCCCTTGAAAATGAAATATACAGCTGTAACTAACGGAATCCATACAAGAGGTCCTTGAGACAAATTACAGGGAACAAAATCAGAAACAGATAGACATCCATTTGTGTGCTTAGCGACAGTGTTAAGACGTCCATCCTTCTTGATTTCATCTACAACTCCAGTGCAATTCCATCAAAATCTCAGCAGGGTATCTGTGGAGGCCAACAAATTGATTTGTAGGTTTATGTGGGGATGCTTAAACAAACAAACAAACACACCACCCAGAATACTGAGTATTAATTATTAATGCTCTGTATTAATTTCAGATTTACTATAAAGCTACAGCAGTCAAGAGAGGTGGTGTGGAGGAAAGGGCAGAAAATGGGTCAGTGAAACAGAACAGGGTCCAGAAGGACACACACTGTTTGGTTTGGCCAATTAATCTGAAAACAGGAAGCGCAGTCTGTTCAGCAAATGGTGCTAGGAGAACTGGAGATCTACACAGCACAGACTGGGGGGAAGCACCTTCAAAAAGTGCATGTGATAAAGTAGGCAGGATATGGCAGGAACTTTACAGCCCCCACAATAAGCAGACAACTAAAAATGACCATTTCAGCAGTGATGGTCTCAGGCCATCAACTACTTTTGTAATTTAGCTGGCCAATACATCAGCATAATCTCTCAAAGATATGCACCACTGGCTTTTGTTAACAAATATAATGACAATAACAGCACAGCTAAGGAATGAACACATTAGCATCAATTATATCAATTATCCAAGAACTGTCAAAGCTTCCTCAATTATTTTTTTTTTTTTTGTTTTTGTTTTAGCTTTTCAAGACAGGATTTCCTCTATGTAACAGCCATGACTATCCTGGAATTCACTTTGAAGACCAGGCTGGCTTCAAACTCACAGATCTATCTACCTGCCTCTGCCTTCCAAGGCTGAGATTAAAGGCCTGTGCCACTTGTACTTATCTTGAAATGGCAGCTCTAACAAGCAAGCACGTGGTCCATGCTGGGTACAGCTCTCTGTCTCTTCTGCAGACAGCTTAGATTACGCCAGCTCCATCCTTCCAGATGGGTAGTTTAAATTCAATACTCACTGCAGGGCTGCCTACTTTTCTCCTGACCCTTCCCGCCCAGTCTCCATTTTAGGATTTTCTTAGTCTCCTGCTTATTTTCTCTGTCCCCTAGTTTTGATGCAGGTTCTGTTACATCTAATATTAATTTGTGGAGAACCCTAAAAGTATTCTCCTAACAGCGCACTAAGTTCCATCTTCTTTACTCACTGTGCCAAATGAAAAATTCTTCATCAGTGTTTTTTACTTTTATTATTATTTTTTTTTAACATTTAAATCTTTGACCAACTTAAATCCATTTTGATGCCAGAGGTAAATTCTTACCTCTGTATTTTGTTTTCTAAATTGCTAGCAAGGCATTGGATGACCTACTTTTCCTTCAGAGATCTGAAATAGCCTTTATCATACACTGAATTCATATGTGTACATATAAATTTGAATATATGTCCACATGTTATATGTAATTTGCCCTGGCCCCATTGTGTGTGCAAGCACTGGGATCGAACCCAGATCTTTGCACACTCTCAGCAAGTGTCATGGATTTAGTTGTTAAGAGTAAGTCTTAGTAGTAGGTGGCGCTAGTTCCCTCAACATCATTTTTCATCTTGGCTCCCAGCTATGGCTTCCTACTTGAACAACAAAAACCCATTAATTGGATTTCAGAGTCATTTCCTCAAACTCTTTCTTGCTCCAAACCTTTAGACATAAGAAACAACATTTTTTCCACAGCTTATTCTCCCTCCATATACAGTACAAGTTATTCTGAACGTGTCATATTTGACTCTCAGTTCTTTTCTATTTGGTTATTGCTGCCACACGTGAGAGATTTTGGGTGCACACACATCTTCTAGGACTGCTGGAAGAGCCACAGGCTGGGCAAGGACAGATGATTTCACCCCTCTGTGAGCATCAGCATGTCAGATGCCACATACACCATGGAAGAATACTCCATGCCCACCTTTCTATTTCTCTATCACTCTGGTGCCCACAGCTCACAGGGACACACCCTTCATTTCTGCCACCATATGGCCTTCTCCTGTCTTCTCACTACTAGGTTATGTCACATTGGGTTAATCAATGGTTACATCTCTTTCTATAAGAATCCCATTTATAAACACAGCTCCATTTTTCAAATTCTGGAGATTAGGTCTTGAATATGCCTAACAACACACCAAGGCATGATTCCACCAAAATTCGATCTGGAAAACCCATGGGTTTGCTGGGATCACTTACAGAGAATAAGTGGGGGATTACCTACAGGTGTGTGGGTGACTCTGCCAACAGGTCACTGGGAAGTCTGCCCAGCAGGGACGTGTGCTTCCTACAGCTACACAGATGTGGCTCCTCCCTGGTGCTCTCTTGCTGATTTACTCTACTTTTAAACCAATATATGATCACAAAATACCTAAACTTCAGATAGAAACTCACATCTGTCAAACACCTACCTGATTTAATGAACAGCTATTTAATTAAGTGGTCAACTGAAATTTTTGTAACGTATGAAATACACAATTTTATTAGATGAACTCATTTATTTGACACATTAAGTTATGCAAAGGAAAATATATGCAACTGCATAAAAAGAACCACGTTTTCATATTACTAAACACAGCAGTGGCCAAAAATAATGAATTGTAGAATGGACCCCAGGATTTAATTGAAAAAACACCCTGTACAGAAAAACTTCAGGCTTCTAACTTCACTGAATCCAGAACTACACGTGCTTCTTTATATTCCTCAGCTTCTTCCAAGTCTTTTTCACTTTCCTGAAATAAAAAGCAGCAAAATTAGGCCTGTCCTTCAGGACTTTCAATACTTTATATTACAGACTAGTAAATAATTAAAGAATTAAAGAATAGGATTCTGGGATTTCTAAATATATTGCAGTTCTGTTCCTTTGTTACTGGGAAAAGAAGAAATGAGAGGTTAGCTTACTTTTGTTATATATTCTCATGCTATATATTTTCTTGTTGTAATTATAAACACAGTTACCTAAAATTATTAGCATTAAATAATTATATAAAAATCTTATGAATTTAAAATCATTCTTATTTGGTCAACATTATCCTACAAAAAAATTATTCACAATGCATTAAAAGTAAATAAGAAGGATTTGCTAATGTGTCAATTATGTGGTAATATCCAGCATAAAATAATACTCTAATTATTTCCAATGTCAAGTCCCACAAGTTTAAGTACAAGTGAATTAGAAAAGTAGATTGTCTGCTCATTAATGAGTATATCATATCGACATCAAACAAAATATTAACATACTTAATTTCTTGACATTTAAAGATTAAGTTTGCTTATACACTAATATATAGGGAACTCACTAAATTATTATAGCAACAGACTAAGCCGAAATTTTCACACATAGGAGACTTTGATTTAAATATTAAATATTTAAATATTTTTTATTTTGTATGTATGAATGTTTTGCCTGAATATACGTCTATGCGCCACATACATGCCTGCTGCCAGTGGAGACCAGAGGGGTGGGGGCTGGATGCCCAGGAACTGGAGTTACACTTGGTTGTAAGCTGCCACATGGTGTTGAGAACTGAACTTGGGTTCAACAACAGGACTAGGGGGGCATTCCTGTGAATAATCAGGCTTCCTTCTACTCTTGCTCTGAGAACCCAAGTTAAATGTAAACAAAATGGACAGATCTGTCTGGCAGAGGTATTTCATAGACGGAGAACTCTCTTGTGCTTCACTGAGAGATGAAGAGTGTCCCGAAGGCCACACCATTTGGATGCTCCATCTTGACAAGATGCAAATTCACTAACAGGAAGAAAGCCTAAGACATCCATCCCCTGATCTTGGAAAGCAACTGCCCAGGAAAGTGTGTCTTTAGCACGCAGAGGCTGACACAGCCGAAGGGGAAAGGCTATGAACAGAATTTGGCTACTGTTAGTATGGTATCTGTTTTAAAGTCACAAAAGATGTTAAGCATGAGGGGTCATTGAAAGCAGCTGAGGCCACACTCTGTGTGGCATGGAAGCAGTCATGAGAGGCTAATCTATAAAGGTGAAGATTAAGCTGCAGTGGAACTCCAGAAGCTGGCAAAGCATCCTTCAAGGAGCGTGGCAGGTGTGGAGTAGTTGTGTGCTGAAGGCGGCAGGGCTGGAAGAGTGTGCGGCTGCCCAAACCTCTGGATCTCAGCCAGTTTCATCACAAAGAGCTGCTGGAGTCCCATCTGCTTACTTCTTGCTATGCCCTGGTTTCTCCACACTGGAACAGGAATATCTACTCTGTACTGCCTTATGTTGAAAGTATACAACTTTTTTATTTAATAGAAACTCAGTTACAAGAAAGACTTCAGACTTTTAAAAGTGCCCACATTTAACATTAGGAGACAAACATCAGACTTTGGGGACAAAGGGTAGAGACGGTCACAGGCAGTAGAGTTGTGATGGCTGGTTTTAGCTGTCAGCCTGGTTCACTGCTTTGCTCTTCACCCCAGATTGAGGAAATAGGCTCCTGCACCCCCCCCCTCCCCCGGCAGTCCCTCACTGCAGGGAATCTGAACCAAATCATCTCTTTGTCCCTTAAGTTGCTTTTGTCAGAGTGTTTTTATCCCAGCAACAGAAAGTGGAACTAAGACAACAGCCCTGTGCACTTGTCTAACTATTAGAAAAGAAGTAAGATGACCTTTACTTAGACTCGTTTATAAACCCGGCAACCACTGTTTCACAATGTGTGTTTGTACAGGAACTAGAACAGTCCCACCCAACTCAGGTGACTTCAGGAGAGGTCTGCCCTTATGACCTTTCCCCCTTTCTCTCAAATTCACTTAGGTCTGAATCTAAAATAATTCCTGATCTTTTAAACAAGGGCCAAATTAACTTGAGACATTGGATTAAATCAAATTTTAAAGAGTTGGCTCACTGTTAAGGAGTTTAAAAAAAAAAATGTATGCACAAAAACCAAATAGATATTTCTGGCCAAAACTGGTACCATGTATACATGCTATTATGGCTCAAACATTTAATTAAGTAAGTAGAGTAAACTTGACAAAAAAGAACTTTTTACTAGAGTCATAACTCAAACATAAGTTAAACTCTAAATATTTAAAGCATGCTAGTTGAAGGGTACAATGGTTACTACTGTCAATACCTAGGGAGCAAGCTTCCAGGCTGAACAGTGTGGACTGGCTGTCTACATAATGTTAGTCTCGGAGCATGACAATGGGAGATTATGTTAACTGATGTGTGAACACCCATCCTAGTTTTGGGCTGGACTCTGGAGCATCCCTAAGCAGGGGAGACGAGCACACGTGCATTCATTGCATTCTGTTCATGATTATGGATACAGGGCAACCAGCTCTCTCAAGTCATTGTGCTCTAACCCTGTAACCTGCACCTCTGAGCTAAAATGTAGCTTTCTAAGAGTATTTCATCATACAACAGGAGAAGAAACCAAGACATAGGCAAATGAATAAAACATCTCTTTAAATAGCTGTAGTATTTAATATTCAAAGTTTTTGTTGTCCATGGATTAGGTTGAAAACTATTTAAAATATAAGCTACAGGAATCTTTACTTACTAATATTTGCTGAAGATCGGTATATGCAGCCTCTAATCGGCGCTGACAATCTGGGATCATCATCCGGGACTCTTGCAGGATTTCTGCCTGTATGAGAACATTTGTGAGATATGTTGAGATGACAGAATTAATGTGTATTTATTTTATACCTTGGCATATAACTAATGATGAAATGAAAGTATGACTATGCTAAATGACTCAATGTTCTAATTTAAGTTGGGTTTATCAGACTGTATTATTTGCAAAGTACAACTTCTAAGCAGAACTTACACAAAAGTTTTGGGCTTTTCTCCCTTTTGGTAATCACCTTCTCATAGTAAGTGAAAATTAACTGGCAAAGCTTTTCATTCAGCTCTTATTTAAAAGGCTATTTAAAGTAAATGATTCCCCTGCTGTCACAAAGCACCTTTATCTAAAATGGGATCAGCTGGTTATATAAATATCCCCTGCATCTTTGGGTAATAAAGGAAAACAGTGTTCAGATACTATCACAGGGAGATAATTACTGCATGAGAGAAGTTATTGAGTTATTGATCACATTGTGTGCACACTGCAGGAGGGACTCACTGAAAGACAGAGGTAAGAAAAATGAAAAGCAAAGACCAGCAGGTTCATATTTTGATGCTTATCATGCATAAAAAGTTATTACTCATCTTTGTGCTTCATTTTAGGAGAGAGATTATTCTCCCAGCAGTTTGAGCCAAATTACCAATGGGGCACCCTCTGAATCTGAACTTCTTGCCTATTCTTCATAAAGACACTGAAGAATTAACCACAGGGACACCTATTCTGAGGGATGTTTTTGGATGTAAAAAATTTACCATTCAAAGCTATATTGTAACACATCTAAACACAAAAGAAAACTAGGAAACTCAATCAATAGTTAGTCATGATGTTGGACTTAAGCCTTTTTGTTCAGTTGGAACAAAAGCTTTGTTTCCTTCAATTATTCCCAGAGACAGATATTGTGTTAACATTTTTCTCAAAAAACGTTTGGTCAAAAGTTTTCAGAGAAACTGGTATAAAATTAGCCAAGATTACCTAGTTGAAATAAAACAATGCACACAATTTAATGTTAATAATACTGAATTACAATAAACAGGAACAAAATTAGCCAACATTACCTAGCTGAAATAAAACAGTGCACACAATTTAATGTTAATAATACTCAATTACAATTATAATGGAGACATAAGTAGTCCCAGAATCTTCATGCTTCCTTTGACAGCCTGTTGTAGTTCACACTGTAAAAAAACCATCACAGCACACAGATACATACTCCCTGTCCACATCTGCTTTCCTAGGCTGAACCTAGAATGCTTTGGCTAATAAGACACAGATTAAAATTTCAAGTATAGGGTCATGACTTTACTTTCAGATAAACATATACTTAATCAATGCCACTAAATTATTTTTATATATCTGGTTTGAATTCATGTGAAAAGTTGGCAACAGGAACATTTTGGATTTCTCCTGTGGAATTCCTACAGAACAGCTTATAAAAATTAAATAAGAAGAATACAAAGAATTGGGTCAAACTCATGACAAGTCAAAATACATATTTATGATTTTCCCCCAAGCTTTAATGTTACTGAAATGAACTTTAAGCAGCACTATCCAACATAATTTCTATTCTTTATTATCTCTCTGTATTAGTATAGACCAAGATCTTCTGTTAGTCTAGCAAGATGAACTCTTGACTTCAACAGGATAAAAGTTCATTCCCCTGTATTATACCCTGATTATTCACTATGTTTCCTCTACATTCAGCTCCCATAACCACAGGTTCCACGCCTGCAGATTTTACCTAGTGTAGGCTGAAATTAAAAAACAAAACAAAAAAAAACTACATTGAACACTTGTGATATTTTTGTCACTATTCCTTAAAAATAATATACAATGACAATTATTTATATCATATTGGTCATAATCTAGAGATGAATTAAAATATATGGCAATATATGTATAGCTTACACACTGCACCATTTTCTAAATGGAATTGGTTCAAGAACATTAAGAGTTGATTGCATGCCTACATGATGCCAGGAGACAAAAATGTGAGAAGAAAGTTCAGTTTTCCAGTCCAATCAGGAGCATAAACATGCTTCAAGTGAAGACTTGCCATTCAATGCCAAAGGAACACCCTGGAAACCTGGTACCAAAGCCATACCTGCATACCTGCATCAAATTCACAAGTTGAGTAACTTCTTTTATAGCGATAAGTTATAACTGCCAGGGATACTTTTTATTCTCTGAGAAGTTCATATAGAATATCATCATATCCAGCATTACCCAACTCCTCCCTGACTACGCAACCCCCCCTCCCAAACTACTACCCAGTAAAGTTCTTTTTCAAAAACAAACAGAGGCCACTAAAACCACAGAGTCCAATTTGTGTTGGCCAACTCTCCCGAGTATGGAGTCTGCTGGGAGTGTGATTGATAGACCCAAGTGTCAGTCCATCAAAGAGAACCGACTTTCTTTGTCCCAGCAGCTACCACTGGGAACAGCTTCTCAACAGGGGTGGTGCCACTTTCTGGGATTTTGTCTGCCAGAAACTAACAGTGCCTGGGTCATGATTATATAAAGAAGACATCCCCAAATACCCCATTTAACTAAATGAGTGTTGCTTGTTCAGACTGTCTTCTTAGAATGGTCCTTCTTTAGAAGACCTAAATAAATAGTTCATTCTAATGCTCACTGCCTTACATCTGAGAGAAAAATCAGGGTCTCGGCAGTCACTGGGATGCAGAAGGAACCTTAGGGAAATACCATAGAGTGCCATCCCTGCTGATGTGAAATTGATTTTAAAACAAATTATAACTTTTTTGAATTTATTTTAGTAAAATGAAAGTTGGGAAAGAATAGGCAAGGCTTGGTTTATAATAATCAATAGTCTGCAGAACCTAAAAGTTGATTAATTTCTTTTATGATAAAAAATAAAAAGTGAAAAGGAAACATTTCAATCGATAGAATTCCTTTTTTTTATCACAGAAAGAATTCTATGAAACAATGTGGCCAATGATAAACTGTTTGGTAACTGATTAGGCTAAGGTTTCTGGCTTATTTGTGAGCCAGATCTTGTAACCAGGGATGGGCTAGAACTATAAGCTGTAACAGCCTATAGAATAATGTCAGCTGTCTCTGGACCCAATGATACTCCTATTAGTTTGTCAGATGGAGCTCTAGAAATTAGTTACATCTTCTCTTTTACATAGTGGAAGGATGTTAACATGCTCACATTTGACTTGTGTTTGTCTGGTTATTGCTAAATCCATTGAGGGGAGGGGCAGGGCAGTATAAACTCTGATACAACTGTTGCTAATGTAAATGGTGCAAACATATCATCTAAAGCATGGAGGTAGAGTACTGAGGAGGACAGCTTCCAAAGCTAAGGCGAAACCCTGTCTCAACTCCCTGCCTGTGCCCCCCAAAAAAACATGGAGAGAGACTAACTGTACCAAGCCACATGCCATCTATAAGAAATTCACTCTAGACGCTAAATAAATGCATGGAATATTAAAAATGAACAACAACAACAGAAATTACTTCATTAATATTATAGAGCAGACTGCTGCCAAGTCAAGAAAGGCTGTTAGGGACAAAAGGAGTGTCACATTATCATAGCATTATGAGCCCATCAAGGTAACATGTGATCCTGTGTATGAACAGAACAGACAGACAGACAAATGAACATATAGAGGTGGGAATTTCCATACTTACATTCAATAATTTATGGAAATACTAGACAAAAATGAACAAAGAGAAGAAAGAACTTGATACCAGCACAGTAAGCTATGCTGCCTAACAAAAACAAAACAAAACAAAAAGCCCCCCACAACTCCACATTGGCAAGAGTGAAGGGAGGGGAAACTACTCAGGATGTAAAATAAATTTCAAAAACAAAACCAAACACCGTATCTTAGCAAAGAAATAGAACACTCTGTAAGAGAATGCAAATGCATTTAAGCCATGTGAAACACTACAGCAGATCACATCCTAAGTCAAACAACAGTGAACATAAAACAAGAACCTAGAAACCATGCAATCAATCATACATAGTACATGCTCTAAATGCGATGCAACATAATCAGAGTTAGTAACTGCAAGGAGAGAATCTTCCCTCATCAATTAATAGTCAGCTGGGCAGTATTGGAACATGCCTTTACCCCAGCACTTGGGAGGCAGAGGCCAAAAAATGCTCTGGGATGCAGTCAGACCTACACTAGTGCCGAGGAATATTCACAGCCCCGAATGCTCCCATCACAAAGGTTAAGTGCTGTCAAATCTATGTTCTTACCTCGAAAAAATACAGAAAAAGAGGCAGCACTTAATATCAACACTTAAAGGATAGGGGCAGGAAGCCACTCTGGTCTAATTAGGAAGTTCCTGGACGGCTAAAGCTCACAGAGAGTCCCTGTCAAAAGAAACAAAAACCAAGCAAACAAACAAAAATCCCAAAGCAAAACAACAACCAAAAAGACAAACAGAAAAAAGGCAGCAAATATACTCAAAGCAATCAAAAGAATTGAAGTCATTATAAAAGTACAAAGTGATAAAATTACAAACAAGAAAAGTACAGAGAAAAGTAAACAGAACAAAAGGTAGATTTAAAGAAAAGGTTGATGGACTTCTGGCAAGACCAAGTGAGTAGGCACAAACTACCAAAAGCAACAACAAACAGCACCTGTGGTAACAAGGACACTACAATATCGTGACTTGAAAGCAAGGGACCCCACTCCTCAAAACATATGTAAACTTCCCGAACCCCTCCAGTTCCATCAGCTTCCTGCAAATTTCATAACTTCATCCTAATTTAAGTACTACTATTCCATTGTGTACATATAGCACACTTTTGTTATCTGTTCATTGTAGATGGGCATCTGGTCTATGTAACCTTCCTCTTATAATATATATTTTATTTTGGTGGTCTTCACACCAATTTGGGATCTACTTCTAAATTTAAAGATGTAACTACACTTATTATCTAATTTTTGGGTTTAATACTTAGAACTAAAGACGCTGCAGAGCTTCTTGGCTGAGAACAGAATGCCCATATTCAGACACAGGGCTGTGTGACCTGCTGCAGCTATTGCACTAAGCCCCCGCTTTATCTTTGTTGGGCTTTATTTTTTTGTTTGTGTTTGTCCGAAAGGGCTTCCAGTCCATAGGCTGGCCTCTAACTTGCAGTGATCCTCTTGCCTCAGCCTCCCCACACCCATCTCTGAGGGTTATGATAAAGACATCAGCACGGTTCTCCCCAGCATCCGCTTTACCTGCTTCTTAATGGCGTAGTTTTCACCATCTTCAGCCTTCATTTTTTCAATCTTTTCTTCTTGTTGCTTTGCTTCTTTCTCATACATCACTTTTTCTTTGACCAATCTATAAACAAACCAAAAATGTTTTACAGAATTAGCTTTTTTTTTCTCTAAAGTATAACAAAGAAACTATGTAAATACAAAGCACAGGTAATACTAAGTGCAGCACAATATTTACCAATGTTCAAACCTGCTAGTTCCCCTTTGGTTATATTCACTAATTTTCTGAAGTAATACTCAGCTAGAAAGACAGAGAGTACTGCTTTCCTTTTCCAAATGTCACTTAAAATGCAATTTCAAAGTTATGCTATTATACCTTAAAAGCAAAATTAACTGAAAATATTTTTCATTATTCTTACAAACCCACATCTCTAAGCAACAAAGCAACTTCAAAGTCTGTTGGTTCTAACTAGCTAGAAAAGCTTAATATTAAGGAGAACTATAAGAATTATGAAGGACTGACAACCCCTAGTGGGATAATTAAACATAAACTACCTGTGACAGGATGTGTAGCACACAACACAACATTTACATGTGCAGCCCCATGCTCCAGTGGCGCAATCGGTTAGTGTGGTACTTATACATATGCAGCCCCACAACCAGTAGTATACTCCAAACAAATTCATTTGTGCTAGTAGCCAAATAAACCGAAGTTCCAAGGATGGACAACATGTTTGTATAAAAGGCTTTGTAGATTAACAGATCTGCTACCTCTCAGCACAAGTTTGAGAAGTGCTTTATAGAAACCCACTTTTGCTCTTCAAAACTCACAAGTGCAAATTTAACACATTTAAACACACTGCTCGTGAAATTCAAGTTTTTGGATAAATTAAGAGCTTCTGGCCATGTACCAAAAAACCCAGATTTTTAATTTTCTGAATTTATGATCTTAATTTTATAGTTTTAAGAATTATCAACATTTTTCAATGTACTTATGGCCATCTAATATCTAATATTCCAAAATCAAGTGTACCAGTGGCAGGCCAATACAAATAACAGTGGTAAAAAGGAGGCAGGAGAGATGGCAACTAGCACTGCATGAAACTATTAACTCCAAGGGATCTAACACTCTCTTCTGCCTCTACAAGTTACTATGAATGCATGGTTTTTTTTTTTTTTTTTTTTTTTTTTTACACGCTGACCCAAAAAAAAAAAAAAAAAAAAAAAAAATCTTTGGCAGGGTGTGGTGGCACACACCTTTAATTCCAGCAGGAGGCAGAGGCAGATGGATCTCTGGGAGTCTGAGGCCTTCAGAGCTAATTCCAGGACAGTCATGACTACCTACACAAAGGAACTGTTTGTAAAAACCAAACATGAATAAATTTAATTAAAGAATCTTTAAAATGTCAGCAAAGACCCTACATAGGTATTTCTTTAAGATGACATGCAGATGTGTAGCAAGCACATGAGAAGACACTCAACCCCATCCCATCAGGAATGAAATAACCCTGCATAATCTGATGCTGAAAGCACTGAACAATACTGATAGAGATGAAAACTGACACTGTGATTTTGAAATTGGCTACTTTTCAAAATATTAAATCAAAATTACAATTTGTCCCAATGCTACTCCTAGATATATACCCTAGAGAAACTGAAACAGGAGTCTACATGAAACCTATGTCTACAAATGTTGATAATAGCCTTATGTGCAACAGCTAAAACATGGGAACTAAAAACTCCATTTCATGGACAAACAGAATGCAGTTTATCCATTCACTGAAATATTACTAGGCAATAAAATGAGTAAAATACTCTAGGAAGAATCTTCCACAATTATTCTGCTAAATAGACATAATAACAAATTGATTCCTAATGACATTATTATACCTAGATAATAGTGCATCTCTCAACCCCACCAAGAAACATGGTAATTAACAGAGAAATCTACAACAGGTCAAGCTGCAGAGAATAAGACAATACAGAATGTGCAGTCCTAAGTGGAACAACTATCTCACACCCTCCCAAGGCTTGGGAATCATTGTAAAAGAAAAGGCAGAAATAAGAGGAAGAGGGGGCAGGTGACTACAAGGAAACAATGTACTTGGGACACGGCAGACAGCTTCGCATATGAACTCACAGCGATTGTGACAGTATGTACAAGTCCCATGCAATTTCAAGCCAGACAAAATCCCAGCACAAAGGGGGTGGGGAGCAGGCACGAAGCCCCAACTGCAGCTGAGGAGCTACTGGCAACTGACAGCCCACTTGTAGGAGAGGAGGGTCAGTTCTCTTCAAGTCCTGTAGGCAGATCATGCTCTAGTGGATGGCCACATGCCGTGATCATCTGGGCAGCACAAAATGAAGTTGGTGGATTTAAAAGGGACATGGAGCTGGGTTGGGAGAGAAGGGAGGTGGCTCTGGGAGGAATGGGAGAAGAGGTGAAATAGTAAAAACACACTGTATAAAATTCTCAAAGAAGTAGAAGAGGGAGGGTACTAATTCATGCTACAACATGATGGACCTTGAGGACATGCTATGAAAGCAGCAGACATAAGAAGCTATAAAATGTACTGATCTATTATATATTATAGCACACCCACAGAAGTAATATGGTAGATCACTTTAAAGGTAAGACTCAGTCCCTCTCTGTCTCTATGCCAGGACGCTGTCATAAGATGAGAAACCTTTTCCACCATAATGTTCTGTCCCAGCACAGGCCCAGGTCCCTTAGTCCAAATACATCTTTGTTCCGTAGGCTGTGCCCAGAGATATCTCACACACACACACACACACACACACACACACACACACACACACACACACAGAGAGAGAGAGAGAGAGAGAGAGAGAGAGAACACTATTGTGGCTGCCTAGCAATGTGGTTCAGAAGCTTCTGTAACTCATTTGTGGGAAGCACTGGAAGTTTGGAGAAAAAAGCTTGGAAAAGGTTCAAGTGCTGTAACTAGCAGAGCTTGCAAGGTGATTCTACTGCCTGAGCAAACATTCCAGGAAGAAAAGATGTCAGACACTTAGAGCTGTACCAATGTCCTCATTTCTGAGACCCTCACCTGACCCTACAAAAGAAGTATGTGGCCTTTCCAATGCTGCAACCCTTTCATACAGCTCCTCATGTTGTGGTGACCCCCAAGCATAAAACTGTTTAGTTTGCTACTGCTATGAGTCATAATGTAAATACATGTGTTTTATGATGCTTTTAGGGGACTCCTAAAGAGTCATTCAACCCCCAAAGGGGTTGCAACCCACAGATTGAGAGCCATTGCTATAAAAGGGCTCCTCCAGCCCTCTCGCTCCCCGCAGAACCTCCACTCCTCAGGGCGAGGGTCTGACCTTCACTGTTTAAAAAATAAACAGACTCATCAGTTGAAATTGGGACTCTGGTCTCTTTATGCCTTCTGTCTCTTTACTCGGCACTCCAAAATAAAAGAAACCGGACTGGAGCCAAAGAGTGATGTCTAATTATCTGATGATGGAGAGTACAATGCAGACTGAGTCTGGATGACTAGCTGCTTTTAATAAGGTTTACATTAAAAACTGAGACCAAAAGCAGGACACAAGGGTAGTTTTGAAAAGTTGCAGTCTGGCTAGAAAAGCCTGGGCAAAGGAAGATGGCTGGAGAAATGAGCCCTACAAAAAAGACAGGGTTCCGCAACAATAAAGACTGTGAGGGCACTATAGGATTGGTTGGGTCCTATGCACCCCAAGGTCAAGGGTAAAAGCGGAACCTTATTTGGAAGACAGCAAAGGGCTGAACCACCTAGAGAAGTGACACTCAGAAGCCCACTACAGCTGTGGTGCAGGTGGCTTGGCTACTGACTGAGCCTACACTAGACCTGCCTATCATTGAGAAGATGCTGGTCTAAGAGCCCTGGAGAATGATGCAGATTTATAGGGTTTCAAAAGCCCCTTCTTTGCTTCCTGACTGTCACAGTTAAACAATCATCCCACCCAAACCCTTCCACCATGTTACCCTGCCACCACAGGCTCAGAACTAATGGAGCCTGCTGACCACACTTGAAACCATGAGCCAGAAGTCCTTCCTTCCTTGGGTAATTTGTTGTCAAAACAACAAAAGTTAACACAGGCATGCAACATTTTATATTAAAAAATGTAGAGTACACAAGGTAAAATTAGATTAGCTCTTTCTAGTCAACCAAGTTTTTTCTTTCCTTACTAAAGTGACAAGCCACTTGAAGTTTACTCATTATTAGTAACAAAACAAACCCAAATGTTAAATCAATCTATTCCTGTTTTAGTCCACTATCTAATAAGTTCCTTTAAAGACAATATAACTGATTTCACTGTTTAAACAGGAAGAAGCACATCAGAACTTACACACACACACACACACACACACAAAAGGGAAAACAACACACACATATAGAGGGAGGGAGAGGGGAGAGAGGAAGGGGGGGGGGGAGAGAGAACTGAGGGATCCACTGCATAACCAGAAAGAACTGAGCACAGTGCAGGGAATGGGGATGGACTGAGAACAGTGCAGGGCATGGGGAACAGAGAGGGCTGGGGAGGTGACTCCAAAAGTGCTTGCTACTGAAGCAGAAGGACTGAGTCTGACCTCTAGTCTTCATTTTTAAAAGCCCAGTGTGGTGATGGGCAGATGCCTGGAGCTTGATGGCTAGCCATGTTAAGCCTACTCTCAAGTTTTAGGTTCCACCGAGAGATCCTATCAACATCCAACAGGGACAGCTTCTGAGACTTTCAGCGTCCAAGAGCATGCACACAAAAATATAAAGGAAGAGGAAATCCAGTGATCTGAATTGAACAGGTTTCATAAGTGCCAAATAAGCTCAAGGAAAAATAAATCCTCATTGGTGGCCATGAGAATTTCCAAACTAGCCAGGTGGTAATGTATTCCTTTAATCCCAGCACTCAGAAGCAGAGGATGTCTGTGAGTTTGAGTATAGCCTGCTCTCCATAGTAAGTTCCAGGACAGCCAGAGCTACACAGAGATACTCTGCCTTGAAACACAAAAACAAAATGGATGCCAAGAGATGATAGCTCAGTGGTCCAGAGTACTTCCTGTTCTTCCAGAGGACCTAAATCCAGTTCCCAGTACCCACACTGGCGGATAATCCATGCTTTGGGGGGACCTCTTATTTATTTATTTATTTATTTATTTAATAAAAGTGATCTCACAGCATTTATTGTCACCTGATAATAACATAAGGGCCACTAAGACAATATGAATAAATGTTTCAGACTGTTCTGAGCAGAAGACACCTTTAAATACTGTACTACTTCTTCAACTTTGAGTGCCTGAGTTTCTAGTTGGAAACACTTTGGAGCAGAGTAATATTGTCTCCTTTCCGCATGATCCGACCCAGTTGTTTCCTTGACTTTATTTTAGAGTGAATTTCTTTTGCATCATCTAATACAAGGTTCATGTACTCATCAAAGTCAATAATACAACCCTCTATCCACATATTCACTTGCTCATATAGCCACACCTGAATCCGGGGCCTATTCTGCAAGTATCTGAAGATGAGGTTGATGGGCTGCACCATCACCTTCTGCACCTTCTGGCTCTGGCTGCGGTACACCATGGTGGAAGTCACAAAGACCATGTGCGCGAGTGGGAAGGCCGCCTCGGAAAGCCCTCTTCTGCTTCTTTAGAATCCCATATGCAGAGAAAATGAGTAACAAGGCAGAAGACACTGATATGTATGCTAAAGTCATGAGTCTTCCTTCAATTACACAATTATAAACAACAGAATCCTCTGCATCAATCATGGTTTAATAGAGAACACTACTGAAGAAGACTCCAGCTAACCTACATTTGCAAGGAAGAATCCATGGGCAGTAGAGGGGCTCTCTATACAGAGGGAAATGCAATCCTGTAATATCAATCAATATAAAGCAATATGACCCATGTAGTCATTTTCAGTTTTACTTGTCTTATGTCTTCAAGGTCTGCTTAAAGACCAAAAGATATCTACCAAATTTTCCTCATAAAAAGTGTAACATAGGTCGTGGCAAGGATAACGCCCTAGTCAGCTAATGAAACTTAAAGTATAATGATATTTTAATTATTCTCAAAAAATTTCTAAGCCTATGTAGCCAATTTCCCATGTACAGGTCCTGGATTTGAAATCCCTCATATGACTGTTTTTCCTGACAATCCCTTCCCCTGACACAGCTGCTAACAGGCTCTCCTTTTTTGAAGAAACAATACTTTTCAGATTTCTTCTGTGAGACATGAAGGAAAATACTTGCCCTACTGTAAGTATTTTGATATTATATTGCATTTAAACACTAAAACTCACTTTACAGATTATTCCTCCTCCCAGTTTCTCTCTCTTTGCCCGGAAATCCTGCCTATTCTCTCCTGCATGGCTATTGGCTATTTAGCTCTTTATTAAACGAATCAGAAGGTTCCTTAGGCAGTGTAAACAAAGTGTTTACAGTGTAAACAAATATTCTGTAACACCCCAGTGCTGCTACAGCTACATAAGGGGTTCTGCTGAAGGTTCTAGAGAAGTTGCTATTTCCCCTACAAATGATATAATTCCTGTTCCATCTTGGACACTGTCCTGTGTAATATGTGCCAGAAGGTCCGTGGGGTCATGAGAAAATTGAATTTAAAGGATGGATGGTCATTCTGAAGTGTCACATAACTTTAGTCCTTGATAATGTCACTGCAGTCTTTCCAAGAACACTATCTGCAGATTTCTTATAAAGTAATTCAGCCAGGCAATGGCAGTGTATGGCCTTTAATCCTAGCACGGGGGAGGTAGAGGCTGGAGGATCTCTGTGAGTTCAGGGCTAGCTGGTCTACAGAGCTAGTTCCAGGACAGCCAGAGCTGTTACACAGAGAAACCCTGTTTTGGAAAACAAACAAGCAAGCAAACAAACGGATAAGATCTTTATGGTCTTCCATCACCTAAGCTAACAACATCTGCACTGACACACCACTAGGTTACTCCACAGGACAGAGATCATTCATGTTTCTCTCATTCTAAAACAATTCAGTATAAACCAACAAAACATTCAGGACTGAGACTTTGTCTTTTCTTTCCATATTTAAATAAATGTGAATGAACATTAAATTACAAAACCCCCAGTTTTCTTTTATTATATCAAAAAATATCTACATAAACCTTATGTAAGACTATATTTCATACTTCAAAAAATTTTATCAAAACTTTAAAAAATTTTGTTTTCAATAATGTTGGTGGTTATTGAAAGCTAAACTCCAGACTAAATATTATCTCTTTAATCCCAATCACATTTTCAATTTATAAAACACTTCTTGAATGTCCATCAGTAAGATGTTAGAAGAGGCAAGCAGGGTAGGTAGAGTTAGCACTGAGGGAATTCATGGAGCTAGGCTGTCTATATACACAGGCAGCACCTGGAAAACACAACTGTTTATAACTGTGATGGTGGATAATCCTACATGAGTAAATCCAAGTTAGCTGCATTGAATACGAGTTCAGAATCTCCTGATGTAGTAGTGTTCACCATCTATACGGTGTATGTAGTTACAACTTGGAGTCACTCCCTACTAATTCTTTTTATGGTTATTAAAAAGCTCCAAGTGAGACACTCTACTGACCCCAACATTCAAATAGCAGTAAGTCAAGACTGGGGCTCAGGACTGGAGGGAGATACAGCTCAAAAACAGGGTTCTTGCCTAGCAAGAACTACCACAATAATCATACAAATAAATTGAAAGACTTTGAGGTAAGTAAAGAATTTCCAGTAGTATCCTATATTCTTGAAAACAGAGAAGTGCAATAGACACAGACAGAATGCAGTAGGGCTGGAGAGGTTGTTTGTTCTAAGCAGGGTACCCCTCCTCCTCATTCTTCAGTCCTCTCTCCCACATCCTCTAAACCTAACTTAAATGTTCTTATCATTAGGCCATTCTACCACCAATCCTCTCACTAGCCCATGCTAACACTGGATCCCATGGATCTCCATGGCTTAATTACCTCCACTATCACAATGTTCGTATTTTGTCCATTTTTGTTCTTGAAAGCAAATGCCCTTAAGGACTGGTGATGTGCCTTATACCAGCATCTAGCAGGGTATGTATGTGCCTCATGGGTGTTTACTGAATGTATGCATCATTTGAGGTAAGCCGAGCAGCTCTCATACCCATCTTCACAAATGACTAATGTAAGGCCACGTGGCCAGGAAATATAAAGTTAGAATTTCATTACAAGAGTGTAAGCACTTTATATTCACCAAATTATCATGTTTAGAGTAAATGAAGTAATTTAAAATCTGTAATGTCTTTTCCCTATTCCAAAAGTAAAATAATCCCATGTTTTAAAATTGAAATAGCACAAAAGAGGACAGTGTAAAGACAACTTGTCCTACTCTACACTGCAGCTACTCAGCTCTCAAAAATGGAAGCAATACATTGTTCTTATATAGCCTAAGTGAAAGAATAGGAATGCTTAATTTGAAGGCATTTGTTACCTTATTTCTCCCAGTACCCATTAATTAATCAATTAAACTGAAGATGGTTCAAGTTCTATTAACTGCTGAAGTAGAATATATGCTCTAATTAATTTTAATAAATAAGTTAGACAAGACATATTCTGTAAACAGCTAAAATAATGCATGCAAAATCCAAAATCAATATAACTGTTTCAAAACTACAAACCTTAGAATTAGTAACTCAAAAACACCAATATAAAACAATATTTCACTAATTCTCTAAATTGTCCCTCAAAGTTTTGAGATGTCAGAGAGATTAATGACTCAGTGATTAAGAGCACTTCTACTCTTCTGGGGGCCTTAGCTCCACTCCGAGTACCGACACTAGACAGCTCACAGTCACAATCACCTTTAACTTCTGCTTCAGGGGATCTGATACCTTCTAGACTCCAAAGACAATGCACACAAGTCTCTCTCTCTCTCTCTCTCTCTCTCTCTCTCTCTCTCTCTCTCTCTCTCTCTCTCTCTCTCTGTGTGTGTGTGTGTGTGTGTGTGTGTGTGTGTGTCTGTGTCTCTCTATATACACACACACACCCTTTTTTTTTATAACAGCTAGTAAACCTGATCTGAAAATTCAAGAGGTGAATTCTTTTTAATTACTTTAAAACTGGTGATTTCCAGTCTGTGAAGTCCTCCAAGTCTTTGTTGCCCAACCTTAAATATACCACACAATTCACAAAATGTGTGTACAATTTTAAATCCACTGCTCATTTACTCTACTACTTACTCAAAGCAAACCATTTCCAAGCCACTGGTCTTCACAGCCAATGCACCCTTTAAAGGCTTCACTGTCATAGCTGGAACCACACCCAGGACACATGGACAGCATACACTAGCATGTGTAAGTACAAAGTCTTCTCACAAACCAGAATGATATATACATCATGTGTTTATAGGATTTTATGAACACCACAACTTCATGCAAATGACTGTTCTTTCTACATAGCTCCTTGCCTACTCCAGATGAGAAATCTGGCAGGGTCTTTCAAGGTCATGTACTGGGCTGGAACTCACTATGTAGACTAGACTGGCCTTGAACTCACAAAGACCTGTCTGCCATGAACACACATCTATGACAAATATCCTTTCCTGACGTCTAACTAAAAGACTCAGTATCTACAGTACTGAGAGCTGAATAAAGACACAGAAATAAAACTACAGTGATTCAAACCTGCATGTATACAGATAGTCTCCCTCAACTGAACATACAAATATAACCAAAATCCTATTATACAACAATTTTTTATAGAAAAAAATAGCTCTTCCAAGTGATATTAATAGATGTGATTAAAAGAAAAGGGTTTCTATGAGCAAGTAAACCTGGGAAACACTCCCTTAACCAACCTCTTAGCATTGACACAGAAAGCAGAGGAACCTCACAATGAAAAGTTGCCTCTCTTGGTCCTGCTCAAAAGAATTTGAGCACAGAATTCTTTCTAAACCTGCTTAGGAGGATCTAGTGAGACAGATTCTATTGGATAGCACTGGGATCCTAAACCAAGACATGTAGCAATATGATTTTTGATGTAGAAACTGACAAATTTTTATTTCCAAATTTCTATATTGTACTCACATAACACGTTAAATAAAAATGTTTCAAAGTTAAATATCACTGTCAATTTAAGAATACGTTTCTTAAATGTTAATGTGGCAGCAAAAAAAAACTGCATAATAATACAATACTGGCAAGTTTCTATATGAAATCACAATGAACATGTTGCCTAACAACCTCATCCCTTAAGGTTCCCATTTTCTAAAATAAAATTTGTATTTTAGTAGAAAGTAACCAGCTATTCCATCTTGTGCTACCAACAAAACATTTAATTAAAAAATTGTATAGCAACAATTAAAGCTTTTTAAAAATCTAACTGAAGTTTTCCTATTGTAAGTTTATTTTTTTAGCTTAGACATCTCAGATGGGTTGTACATACTTCACTGTTCTTAGGTAAAAAAAAAAATCTATAAAGAAACACAATTGTAGCTTCAATACCAAATGTTATTTAAAGACTGCTTTAAAATTGGGACCTTGATGAAACCATTCTAGGAAAAACGAGTCAATGTGAAACCTATCACTCACAGCTCTGCCAGCCTTCATCAGCAAATATCCA